AAGACAACCGTCCTACATACTGGATCCACTAATACACCATAGCTTTGCACTGGAAGAGTTTGGGTGCTGAACTGGCCTGTGTGGCAGTCTGGAGCTTACACCAGCTCAAAACATTTGATCCATCATGAAACAAGGACTGTTGAGCTGCTAGAATCCTATGTCAGACAACAGTGAGACATCTATTCTTCTCTTAAAACCAGTAGCTAATCTCCTCAGTTCCCAGATGTGACAGATTGTTGTTAAATATGAGAGGATGCTACACTGTGGTAAACACGACCCTATTCCTGCTTTTTTTAGACATGTAGCTTTAATCAATGAGTCATCAGAGAGGTTCCTCAAAGAATCAATAATTTATATTAAAATTAGTATTACTAATAGTAACATAGTATTTATGTATGATCAAATGTAAAAACATACAATTGACTGTTTCTGATTGCTGGGATATCAACACTTAATTAATGTACAGTGAAGCATTTTGTAACCGTTAATAAAGTAAAAGTGCTATCGAAAATAAAGTTATTATTAGTATTGACATTTCACACATGTTTCTTTGGGTTTATTATTTTATTTGAACAGAAATCACGAGACAGTACATTTAAAAAAGTAACTAAATGATTTAAACAGTATAATAACAAATAAACATCCATAACATGGAACAATACTATTCAAAGTACCAAATAAAACAATTTGCATGCATGAAAAAAACATCCCAAAACACAACCACAACAACACATATGAGTCGCTGTGCCAGGTGTCCCACTTTACACAGGCACAGCATTTTATCCCTCTCAGGTTCAGGTAAAGGCTCAGGTTACTTTATTTTGAACTGCAGGTAGATTTGGTTTGCAGCAGCTCATCCACTCAGAAGCACATTTCCAAAACAAACACAGACAAGAGAAAATGGTAAAGAACAACTACAGCATTAAAACAAATAATAATACATAATCAACAGCCCCATATCACAGACTAATACAATGTAATATATGTTCTGTCTAGTTCCCTAATGTTGATATGTGAGTATAACAAGAAAACTGTGATTTAAAGATTTTAAGATTCATTCCAATTGAACCCCAGATAGATAGAACGGCAGATGAAATAACAATTGACAGTCATTGCAATAGAAAAGAGATTATGTGGGTATCTAAAGAGCAATAAAAACAACTTCACACTCCATTTATACTTTGTATAATTTCAGGGAAACAACCATCCATCCATTTTGTTGTTTATCCAATTCAGGATTTGTTTATTTTTTTTCAGGAGATGTGGTGAGCTGGAGCCTACCAGCTGTCACCGGGCGAGACATGTCGCCAATATATTGCAGGGCTAATTCATGAAGACAGACAGCTACTCTGACATTCACACCTGCAGTCAATATGTGCAGTGGTGTGAAAAAGTGTTTACCCCCTTCCTGACTTTCTATTTTTTTGTATGATTGTCTCACTAAAATGATTCAGATCATCAAACAAACAGCCAGACAGCCACGATTTAAGCCAGACATCATGCTACAATCCAAGGAAATTTAGAACAAATGACAAACAAATTGATAACTGTGAGATCTCTCAGTCTGGAAAAGGTTATAAAGCTCTTTCTAAAGCTGTGGGACTCCACAGAACATGGAAGAGTGTAGAACCTTCCCAGGAGTGGCCAGCTGACCAAAATTACCCGAAAAGCGCAGCGACGATCTACCAAAACATCCTGAAGGAGAATGTCCGGCCATCTGTTCGTGACCTCAAGCTGAAGCACACTTGGGTTCTGTTGTAGAACAATGATCCAAAACACACCAGCAAGTCCACCTCTGAAGGCTTAAGAAAAGCAAAATGAAGATTTTGGAGTGACCTAGTCAAAGTCTTCACCCTGTTTGGATTCAGTGGCATGACCTTCAAAAGGTTCATGCTCAAAAACCTTCCAGTGCGGCTCAATTACAAGAATTCTGCAAAGAAGAGTGGGCCAAAATTCCTCCACAGCTCTGTAAAACACTTATTGCCAGTTATTGCAAACACTTGATTGCAGTTGTTGCTGCTAAGGGTGGCCCAACCAGTTATTAGGTTTAGGGGGCAATCACTTTTTCATTTAGAAATCGCATTTTGTGTTTACTTGTGTTATCCTTTTCTAACATTTCAATTTGGGTGATGATCTGAAAAATTTCAGTGTGATGAACATACGGAAAAATAGAAAATCAAGAAGGGGCAGACACTTTTTCACACCACTGTAATCACCAGTTAAACTGACATGCATGTCTTTGGATGGTGAGAGTATTCAAACCCCAGACTGAAACCTGCTTTTAAATATAATGCATTGGTTTATTTTTAATAAATGTCAAAAATTCAGACAACAGTGTGTCTCACATAAACACACATTTTGCCCCACGTTTAGTTTGTGGGGATCTGATCAACCCAGTATAAGTAATATTGCCAAACTGGTGCTTTAAATTACTGCAAAACATTTTTACTTTTACATATAGAGACAATATTTCACATCTTGATTGGCTCTAGTTTCCAAAGGTCAACATCATAGGATGTCACTTTTCTTAAGTTTGTTTTTTATTGAACGGGTGTCATCATGGAACCATCAGCTACGTCTTGATGCATTCTCAAGTTTTGTCACTCATCCAAGTAACTTCTTCAGTCTCAGCTGACAGACTGAAGAAGTCACTTGGATGAGTGACGAAACGTTTCTCCCACAAAATGCTACGTCCAGATGAACAGAATCAACTTTTGGAAACCATCAGCTATGCTACAACTAAGGCTGAAAATTATAAGTCACTAAAAAGTCACAATTTATGAAGATTTTTGTGGACTATGATAAAAATGACCACAAATAAAAATAAATGTAGCTACAATCAAGTCTAGACTGGAAGTCTCCTAATCTAGCATCAGGTAACCATCAGGTTACCATCACCATTTAAAGGCTACTGTAAAAAAAAGTAAAAATACTGCTGCATTAGACTAAACTTTAACTTTCTTATATTTGTCTCTTTACAAAGCAAAGGAGTTCACATTAGCAAGGAAGGTCACATTTTGGCTTTCAAATTGCTACCATAGGGGTATCTACTAAATATATCCGTTGAGTTTGAATCTCAGTGACCTTGGGCTCAAGGTCACAGGTCAGAGGTCAAGTTTTCCAATAATCTTGTGAATGTGATAAATCAAGAATGATGACACCTACAATTTTGAAAAAGATACCAAAGGAGTATCTTCTAAAAATCTTGTATGAGCTCAAATCTCAGTGACCTCACCCTCAAGGTCAGGCTGTCAAAGGTCAGGCTTTTTTTTTGAAAATCTTGTAAATGTGATAACTTTAGAACGAAGTGAGAACGAACAGACAAATTGATACCATCGGCATATCTAGTAGATTGAGGGATACCACTGGCCCCTGGCAGAATTTTTGTTTTATATTCTTTGTTTTTTTTTTTCAATGTTGTGTATACAAAATTCACAATATATGGCCTGCACTATGAGCACATGGCACTTTTACTTTAAGTATTTTGTTTGCTTATCATAGACTGTACGATTTTATATTTATTTGGGAATAACACAATACTATCTATCTATCTATCTATCTATCTATCTATCTATCTATCTATCTATCTATCTATCTATCTATCTATCTATCTATCTATCTATCTATCTATCTA